ACCCATCATTGTGTCTGCCGTCATTCCACAAATGTTTGATCAGTATGTGATACGCTACCAACTTTTGTTTCGAAAGTCATGAAATTGTCTATTAGTACCACGCTTGATACTTGCTTCTTCGATGTATGTCTTTGTACAATTAAAGTAGTGAACACGAGATAAATTTTATACTAGTTTTTTTTTCTTGTAGTAGTGGTGTCTTCCGTTATTCTACCAGTAGGAGTGGTAAACATCGCGAGAAAACTGTGATTCCTAGCATAATGCCGAGAAATTTTTTTTGTGAAACCATGTGGCCCACAATTTCGGAATTCTTTCTTTAATGGTATCGGCGAGCGATTGCACTTGTGACTGCAGGCCTTTTATTGATACTGCCGAACGTATTGATCGCAGAAATTGGCCAAGCTGTGCGATCAAGGTTCTCTTGTCTTTCTCGAACTTCCTTTCTTATCACAAGTCCGAGTGATTGTCGGGTTTAGATGGGTTTCTAACTTTCTGGCGCTGTGCCGATGTGCCAAAATCACCAAACGCTTATGTAGCCAAAGATACGTGGCGTTACGCAACTACTACATGGTTTTGAGATTTGCGCGATCTGGACATAAGCAAGCCTAAATAAATTTCCTGTACCATGCTTTCTTTTTTCTTCACTCTGGAGGTTTAGTGTAACTTCAGTGACCAGTATCAACTGCGTTCAATCAAATAATCTGTGACTTTTGCACTTGCTGAGCATTCAGTCCACTCGAAAATTTTGGTGTCAAGGCTGTTTTTATAGTCATCGCCAACAAATTACAAAGATAGAATTTTGTCAGGTTATTTTACGCTTTATATTCCTCTCTCCTCGAGTCTCGTCACGTTTAGAATGTGCTGAAAGTCTTCTTGAATCGCGCGCAACTCTGTAGATCCGGTTTACTCATTTTAACTGTAAATGACATGAGTTGATGGAATACATGAAGACGTACGATACCAAGACGAATAAGGCTAGTACAGCAATAGAGTACTAATTCATCTATTGCGCAATAAGGAGTAAGAGCAATTTTACGAATGTCATCAGAGTGGGGACTTTCGAAATTAGGGATAATCTACGCTTTGTTAGGCTCCGCCTAGTTCAGCTGCATGTCCTCTTTTTCTTTCAACTCTTGCTGATTAGTAACAGATCTGTGGTGGATCACAGAGCATACTCATGCTTGGAATTATTTGCGGAACTACCGGTCGATGATCTCCTCATTCGAACGTGGTTTTATTCATATTTGGACCATGAATGAATGGTTCATGATGATAAGAGTGCAGTCTATGAGGGATGAATTTGTAATCTGGATGACTGCTCAAATTTGATTGGATGATTTCAAAGCAATCCTGCTTTGATGCAATCCTGCTTTGTCTGACGAACTTTTTGGTTATCTTGAATGAAGTAGTACTTTACCTCTGTGCCAAGTTTTCATGGCCTGCCCTCTTTTTTTGGACATGTTCTATGTATGGTGGCCTCCACAGATTGCAGCAATATCCTAGTAGCGCGTATCCTAGTTCATGAACTGTAGTAATTTGCTGACACCGATGAAGATACCTATGCTATCATGACACTGCAGAATCGATTTTCAGCGATACAATTTTATAAGAATTATTACAGATGATTGAAATAACCGTGAATGACCGACTGGGCAAGAAAGTGCGTATCAAGTGTAATCCTACTGACACGATCGGGGATCTGAAGAAGTTGATTGCTGCTCAGACAGGAACTAGGTATGAGTTTGATCTTTTTTATTTTCTTCAGAAACTGTAAATTCACTTTGAACATTTCCGCATCCACATCACTAAAGGGCGCGTATCCTAGTGTGTAAAACCTTTTTTTAGGTACGAGAAAATTGTCCTCAAGAAGTGGTACACGATATACAAGGATCACATCACGCTCCAAGACTATGAAATTCATGAAGGATTCAATTTCGAGTTATACTACCAGTAAATGTGTCACCTGTGTTTGTACATATTTTTCTTTTCCTTGTGTGCGTTTGACTGCAACGTGAGAAGATCAGTTTCCTGCTCAAACGCTTATTTGTGTTGGGTGTTTCATTTCAATCCATTAAATCTTTTCGGACTAATATCGGCTGTATTTCGTGCAATAACATTTCTTGATGGGCCAAGAAGCCAAGGGGCTTTCAATCTGAGTGTCACGTCGATGTGTTCAA